GAACCACCATGCATGGCAGAATCTCCAAGCGTCCCTATTTTCCAGGGACAGTCCTGGATTTACAGAAACCGTCCCGGTTTCTGATTTGATCCTGGAATGTTCTGCTTTTCCTTAGGACGTCCCTATTTCCATCAGAGAAATGTTGGAGGGTATGGAGTTATGCGACCTTCGAGCCAAGGAGATAAGTAACTATACAACCTTTAGAAGACATCTGAAGGCAGCCCTATATAGTTTTATTATGTTTTTATATACAGTCATACCTCGGATTACAGACGCTTCCTATAATGGAAATGCCTATCAACTTTTTTGGGGAGGAGGGATGGCCCCGTCAAATATTTTATTGGGGGAGGGTGAAAGGACCTTGGCCCCTAGGAATTGGCTTCTATGCGTAACACACACACACACACACACACACACAGAGAGAGAGAGAGAGAGAGAGAGAGAGAGAGTTTGTGTGTGTATGACTGGAGTAATACACACGCACAAGCACATATGCAGTGTGTTGCTCCAGTAATACAGAAACCATTATGTTACACAGTCCTAATTCACATACTGTACTTGTGTTTACATCAGTCTGAAATGTCGACGGGTCCACCCGAGGGACACGATTGCTCCTTTCTTTGGCCAGCTCCCTCCGGATGGGAAGCTGGCAGAGGGGGTGGCAAGCTCCTTCTTGCTGCTTTTGTAGAAAAAGGCGACGGGTTCAAGCTCTGGGCCCGCCCCGTCCATGTCATGCTTCCCCTTTTCTCAGCAGCGGCCGGACGTAAAAGGCGCTGAGACACAACGCCTCCCGGCCACAACTTCCTCAGGGGGAGAGAAGCTGGACGTTCCCGGACGCCTCCGCCGCGGGGAGAAGGACCAGGCTCACCTGCTCGACAGGTAAGTGCTGCTTCTCAAGCAGATGCTGCAGGTGAAGCTCCAGCAGCGGCGACCCCCGTTCCTCTCCCTCGCGCCTTGTCCGACGCGAAGCCCCTTTGGCAGCCAGACGGCTCCCCCCCCAAACCCTCGTTTCAATGGGCTTTCGCGTGTCTTCAGTCTTTTGCAGCGTGTTGTTGTTGTTGTTTAGTCGTTTAGTCGTGTCCGACTCTTCGTGACCCCATGGACCAGAGCATGCCAGGCACCTCTGTCCTCCACTACTTCCCGCAGTTTGGTCAGACTCATGCTGGTAACCTCGAAAACACTGTCCAACCATCTCGTCCTCTGTCGCCCCCTTCTCCTTGTGCCCTCCATCTTTCCCAGCATCAGTGTCTTCTCCAGGGAGTCTTCTCTTCTCATGAGGTGGCCAAAGTACTGGAGCCTCAGCTTCACGATCTGTCCTTCCAGTGAGCACTCAGGGCTGATTTCCTTAAGAATGGATGCGTTTGATCTTCTTGCAGTCCATGGGACTCTCAAGAGTCTTCTCCAGCACCATAATTCAAAAGCATCAATTCTTCGGCGATCAGCCTTCTTTATGGTCCAGCTCTCACTTCCATACATCACTACTGGGAAAACCATGGCTTTAACTATACGGACCTTTGTTGGCAAGGTGACGTCTCTACTTCTCAAGATGCTGTCTAGGCCTGTCATTGCCCTTCTCCCAAGAAGGAGGCGTCTTTTAATTTCGTGGCTGCTGTCACCATCTGCAGTGATCATGGAGCCCAAGAAAGTAAAATCTCTCACTGCCTCCATTTCTTCCCCTTCTATTTGCCAGGAGGTGATGGGACCAGTGGCCATGATCTTCGTTTTTTTGATGTTGAGCTTCAGACCATATTTTGCGCTCTCCTCTTTCACCCTCATTAAAAGGTTCTTTAATTCCTCCTCACTTTCTGCCATCAAGGTTGTGTCATCTGCATATCTGAGGTTGTTGATATTTCTTCCGGCAATCTTAATTCCAGTTTGGGATTCATCCAGCCCAGCCTTTCGCATGATGTATTCTGCATATAAATTAAATAAGCAGGGAGACAAAATACAGCCTTGTCGTACTCCTTTCCCAATTTTGAACCAATCAGTTGTTCCATATCCAGTTCTAACTGTAGCTTCTTGTCCCACATAGATATTTCTCAGGAGACAGATGAGGTGATCAGGCACTCCCATTTCTTTAAGAACTTGCCATAGTTTGCTGTGGTCGACACAGTCAAAGGCTTTTGCATAGTCAATGAAGCAGAAGTAGATGTCTTTCTGGAACTCTCTAGCTTTCTCCATAATCCAGCGCATGTTTGCAATTTGGTCTCTGGTTCCTCTGCCTCTTCTAAATCCAGCTTGCACTTCTGGGAGTTCTCGATCCACATACTGCTTAAGCCTTCCTTGTAGAATTTTAAGCATAACCTTGCTAGCATGTGAAATGAGTGCAATTGTGTGGTAGTTGGAGCATTCTTTGGCACTGCCCTTCTTTGGGATTGGGATGTAGACTGATCTTCTCCAATCTTCTGGCCACTGCTGAGTTTTCCAAATTTGCTGGCATATTGAGTGTAGCACCTTAACAGCATCATCTTTTAAAATTTTAAATAGTTCAGCTGGAATACCATCACTTCCACTGGCCTTGTTATTTGCAGTGCTTTCTAAGGCCCATTTGACTTCACTCTCCAGGATGTCTGGCTCAAGGTCAGCAACCACACTACCTGGGGTGTACGAGACATCCATATCTTTCTGGTATAATTCTTCTGTGTATTCTTGCCACCTCTTCTTGATGTCTTCTGCTTCTGTTAGGTCCTTACCACTTTTGTCCTTTATTATGGTAATCTTTGTACGAAATGTTCCTTTCATATCTCCAATTTTCTTGAACAGATCTCTGGTTCTTCCCATTCTGTTGTTTTCCTCTATTTGTTCGCATTGCTCGTTTAAGAAGGCCTTCTTGTCTCTCCTTGCTATTCTTTGGAAATCTGCATTCAATTTCCTGTATCTTTCACTATCTCCCTCGCATTTTGCTTGCCTTCTCTCCTCCGCTATTTGTAAGGCCTCGTTGGACAGCCACTTTGCTTTCTTGCATTTCCTTTTCATTGGGATGGTTTTCGTTGCTGCCTCCTGTACAATGTTACGAGCCTCCATCCATAGTTCTTCAGGCACTCTGTCCACCAAATCTAAATCCTTAAACCTGTTCCTCACTTCCACTGTGTATTCATAAGGGATTTGACTTAGATTGTATCTTACCGGCCCAGTGGTTTTTCCTACTTTCTTCAGTTTAAGCTTGAATTTTGCTATAAGAAGCTGATGATCTGAGCCACAGTAAGCTCCAGGTCTTGTTTTTGCTGACTGTATAGAGCTTCTCCATCTTTGGCTGCAGAGAATATAATCAATCTGATTTCGATGCTGCCCATCTGGTGATGTCCATGTGTAGAGTCGTCTCTTGTGTTGTTGGAAAAGCGTGTTTGTGATGACCAGCTTGTTCTCTTGATAGAACTCTATCAGCCTTTGCCCTGCTTCGTTTTGATCTCCAAGGCAGCTTTTGCAGCGTAGGGGAAGAGAAAGAAAAGAGTATTGTGGCATCTTAAAAGAGATGATGCTACCAAAATCTAGTTACTGGATTGATAGATCAGATGTCAAGGAAATAAACAACTGTCTGACTTTTAGAAGACATCTGAAAGCAGCCCTATTTAGGTAAGTTTTTAATGTTTGATGTTTTATTCTGTTTTTAATATTCTGGCTGGGGAAACCCAGCCAGGTGGGTGGGGTATAAATAACAAATTATTAAAACAATTATTATTATACTGGATGCTTCTCTCAGAGCTCCCACCCCCCACCTCCCCAGTTATTTTATTTGTTCAACACTCCTGTAAAGGCTGAGAGGCTATTATTAGAATTATAATTATAATTTATATATCGCCCTATACCAGGAAGTCTCAGGGCGGTTCACAGAATAAAATCAAAATATAAAACCACAAAATACATAATCAAAATAAAAACAACAACCCGATAATGACCCCACCCCCCAAAAACCCCCCCACACACCACGTTTTAAAAGGGCATACGATGTAAATCAAATCAACCAAAGGCCTGATTGATAGCTAGAGGTCAGAGCAGCCTAAATCGGTACCCGCATAATTCTGGGAGCGGGAGGGAAAGGGGCATATTTCCTAACAATCTTCCAGCCTGTGGAGGTGGCTTCGAAAAGGGAACGTGAAGGTATCAAGTTGAAAATGCTGGAAGTAAGAGAGGAGGTGGATCGCAATCTGCTGCTGTCTTCCCTTTGATGTTGGATGTGCCTGGATTTGGACTCTCTGGAAATCCAACTTCTTGTTTCTCTCTCAGATTTCTGAAGAACCATATGGTGTGGTGTCCAGATGAATCATACTCAAAGTAGACCCACTGGAATCAGTTGACTTAATTTATCTCAGCGGGTCTGCTTTGAGTATGATTTAGTTGGACACACCACCCATTTTCTTTTAAAAACAGTGTACATAATATAAATCGGCCAAGAAGTTTGTAGTGTTCATTTCATAGAAGTAAAAGTTGAAAAAATGTTTTTCAACATGGTAAAACTATTCTACTAGTTAAGTTAAAAAAATGTTTTGTCTGCAAAGAACATGAGAGTTTCTAGTTGCGACTTGGATTTCCCCATTGCCTGACTATATTTAAGAGGCAATGTAAGACTTGCTTACTGTAGAGATTTTTTAGAGGGTAGGGATAAGAGAAAATTGAGTTCTTTTGCTTTTAAAAAAAAGGAAGTGTGGTTGTAGCTGGATATTTTTTTCTCTTGGGGTTTTTGTGCTTCTGTTTAATGTTAGTAGATTTGGGGTTTATACAGAGTTTGTATGTGAGTAAAAAATCTTCTCCAAACAGGCACAATAGCAACCCTTGTCATCAAAACATCTCTTCCTTTGGTTTACCTTCCTTTTCCATACATCTAGTCTGAGGAAGAGTTCTGTATCACCCAGAGGGCTGCATACTGCACTCTTCAATTCAAATTGATCTAAAGAAAAACTATTGTTTCACATGTTCTGATTTGGGGGTCAGGGGAGGGATGTTGGACCAGTGTGACTAGAACATGTTTTAGAACTTAAAACACAATATAACACAGGGGTTTAGGTGTGCCAGGTTTTGTTTTTCATTGAGAGCATACAAGAAGTAATGGGGAAAAGTAAATTGTTCATAAAGTGTTGCAACTTTAAGTCTTGTTGTTGTTTTTCCCCGGGCTGGATTATGTCTTTCCTCTAACCATTCCTTTCTTAACCACCTTGTATCTATTGGTTTGTGGATCAGCTATTAAGAACATTTGCCATCTGCAAGGTAATTTGAGTGAGTTTATTTAGCAGTTTTTAGCCAGGAAGTTAATTAGGTAGAGGGCCCTTTGAGATCTCAAGCTGATGCTCAATTCCCAGGTGTCACTGCCTTTCGCTAGCTTTGTCTGCTATAAATAAATGAGACTGCTTCTATTCCTTCTTGCCTTTAAAGCTGTGGCTGGTTTCCTGCATTGAACTTCACCTGAAAGTCACAGCGAAGCTTACACTGGTATGTCTATAGCATCATAGTACTGTAGAGTTGGAAGGGTCTCTGAGGATCATCTAGTCCAACCCCATGCAATGCAGAATATGCAGCTGTCCCATACGGGGATCGAACCTGCAACCTTGGCATTATCAGCACCACGCTCTAACCAACTGAGCTAAAATGTGAGCTGTTGAACGAAGCAGATTGAGGAAATAGTATGCAGGTTCTGCAAAAATTGAATTTTTTAATGTCTTATGTTTACAGCTGAGTTCCTCTATTATGCATGTCCTTTCTGCTGATTCTACTTCTGTGTTGATTATTTCATGTTTATAGGGTTCATAGGGTCAGGGCATAACAACAGTTTTCTACATGCCTGGTTGCATTCACAACCAGGAGTGCAGGAAGTGTTCCTGCGAAAGACACTTAATGACTCAGATGGACAGGCCATACTTAGTCCTCTGCCTGTCTCTGCTGTTGCGTCTCTGTCCACTGAGAACCTTAAAAATAACAGATGGTGCCAATGGTTGTTTGCTCAGACCAAAAATGACTGGAGATCTCAGCCATTTCAGCATTCAGCCAAACTGTTTGGCTGAATCCACCCTAGGTGGATTCATTGTATTCTGGAATATTGGCTAGACTCACAGAGCAGATTCATTACAAACATTAGACCTATTGGATGTAGAGCTGAAACATTCAGGCTGGAGGGAACAGCAGCTGTGAAAAACAACCCCATTCCAGCTCCTAAAATCAGAGCTGCCTGGCTGTATCTGAAGTGCCCTGAAGATAGTTGCCTGGTTTATGTCTGCCTGGTAGCCTTTTAATCCTAGTTGTGTGTTAAGTAAAACGCGGGAATCACTGATGGGGAATTCCCACCTGTTCTATATCAAGATATATTCTCTGCACAGTACTAACTGCCATAGGAAAACAGACTGAGCTCAGGCCAGCGTTTGGCTACGGTTTCATGTGTGCATATTAAAGTGCCTATTAATACAGCACTTGCAGTGTACCTGTGCCATAAGGTGGTGCTGTTCCCCCAAAAATAAAACAGCAAAGTCTGCAGTTGCATCTGAGCCAGGTCTGATGAGCATTTTATACAGAAAGGTAACATATTCATCAGATAATCGATCTTGTATGCACAGCTCGTTTTTCACTGCTCATTCCAGGCTTCTTCAGCAAGGGTTGTTATCAAAGCAATGGCTTTACCATTTAAATTTCAACCCCTCCTTGAGAACAGAAGAGCCCTGCTATATTACACCACAGTCAGCATTCTGTTCTCACAATAAGCAACCTGCTGGCTATGGAAAGCCTATCAGTAGCACATGTGTGCATTAACTTTCTCCTGCTCATATTCTCCAGCAACTGGTATTCAGGGCCATGGGACCCAAAGGTAAATGCAGCCATTGATAGCCGTATCTATGAATTTGCCTGCTTGCTGTCCCTCATTCTCACTACCACCTTAAGTTGACCTGAGAGTCAGGGAGGTATCCCCAGTGGCCATGAGTACAACCAGGATTTTTGTTAAGGGATGCAGGACTTTTGTTGGGGGGGCAGGATTGATGTGATTGGTCAGTTAAGTATTTCTATTGTTTTACTTGAGCAGGGGGTGGCAGCTGCCCCCCCTTGGCTACATCAAAGTGTTGGTGTTGACCTTTAAAGCCCTAAACGGCCTCGGCCCAATATACCTGAAGGAGCGTCTCCACCCCTATCATTCTGCCCGGACGCTGAGGTCCAGTGCCGAGGGCCTTCTGGCGGTTCCCTCACTGCGAGAAGCAAAGCTACAGGGAACCAGGCAGAGGGCCTTCTCGGTAGTGGCACCCACCCTGTGGAACACCCTCCCATCAGATCTCAAAGAGATAAACAACTACCTGACATTTAGAAGACATCTAAAGGCAGCCCTGTTCAGGGAAGTTTTTAATGTGTGACATTTTGATGTATTTTAAATCTTTGTTGGAAGCCGCCCAGAGTAGCTGGGGAAACCTAGCCAGATGGGCGGGGTACAAATAATAAATTATTATTATAATATTATTATTACACCCATGCAAGTGGCAGTGCAGTATACATTAATATAAACACTTAGGACAGAGCTTTTCAGACTTTTCATGTTGGTGACACACTTTTTAGACATGCATCCTTTCGCGACACAGTATCTCAGTTTTACTAGCAAACCGAGGGTTAAACGAACCCCTTATACGAGTGTTTGCGCGACACACTGTAGCCAACACACTAACATGTCATGACACAGTTTGGAAAGCTCTGAGTTAGGGAAACAAGTGACCCCCCCCCAATACATGAGTGGTACTTGCAGCAATAAAACTGCTGGCACATTTACAAAGCTAAGCAAGGTCTGGTATGGTTTCAAATTGGATGGGGGACCACATGTTGAGATTCCTGCATTACAAGGGTTGGACTGGGTGACCCTCAGGGGTCATTCCAGCTCTTTAGTTCTATGATTCTCAACAGTTCCTTTCCAATTGCACCCTAGGCTCTCTGGATCCTGGCCTGTGGGTTTTTTTGGCACGGTAGTTTCAGAATATTCTTGGTTTTTCTTTTATGTTCAACATAGTGAGCACATCTGCGGTTTGCTTATTTGGGGGAGTTGATAAGCTCACATGCATCATATATTCAGTGCTTCCACAGCACTGACAGGGACAAAGACTCTTTAGCATGTGCTATGTAGTCTGAAAGGATGGCTTCCTGTTGTAGATTCCAGTAAGCAGCTTCTGAGAGCAAAGGATGCCTACATTCCTGGGAGTGCATTTTTCGGTGTGCCCTTGGCAGGGACCTGCTACACAGTGTGCCCTGTTAGTTAACCCTTTGGCCACTGCCTGAAAACAGCTGCAGGGGGAGTATTTCAGCAGCCATTTGCTGATGTACAGAGCTTTAACCACCTGAAGTGTTAGATACCCGTTTCCTTTTCACAGCAAATAGAAATGCTAAAGTAACTAAAAATGGGGTAGTATAAAGGCATCTAAAATAGTGGCCTTCCCAGGTTTGTGAAATATAATGGTTTTTTTTTGAAATTGTGGTGTTTCATTCTAGGCAGCTCACAACATTAATAAAAAAATATTCAGTTAAAAAAACACACACACCCATAATAAAACCAATTTTAAACAATACAAATCATAACATAAAACAACCCCAAAGTACTGCAACAAACTAAAAAGTTTATTAATAGTTATGTACATGTGTTCTGTCTTTTTTGGGGAGAAATACCCTGTTTAAATAGCACCAGAAACTAACTAATATCCTGTATTATGTTGTTGCTGTTGTTGTTGTTTTATTCATTCATTCATCCATTCATACCCCACCCATCTGGCTGGGTTTCCCCAGCCACTCTGGCCGGCTTCCAACAGAATATTAAAAACACAATAAAAGATCAAACATTTAAAAATTCCCTAAGCCTTTTATACTTTTATAGACTTCTTATCACGTCACAGTCCAGAAGTGTGGCTATTGCAGTTTCTCCAGAGCTCTGCAGTCAGCTGTCTGTTCTGTGTATGTATATTAGAGAGGCTCTTAAATCCCCTTTTTCCTCCTCCTTCCTGCTGCTTCACATGCTTTCGATGTAATGTACTTTCCAGTCTTGCCTTGAAATACTTCTGCTTCCCCCACCACTGCTGCCCTAGATCCCTTGTGATTTCAGGAATAGCTTTGAATGAATCTTGTGCCATGTTAAAAGACGGAGATCTTTTCCCTTCTGAACTTCTTTTTCGTTTATTCTATAGGCTGGAAAAATTGGGATACCTCATCGTCTTTAGATCTGGGTGTTTTGCTGCAATGGGAAATGGTAACTCCAAAAGAACGTTTCCTTTTTCTCCAAGAAACAGTGTGAAGGACAACCGTGCAAGTCCAGGACAAGAAGGCTTTAAGCAAAAGCCCAAAACGTTTGAACTGTCACTGGGTGAAGAAACCAGTGGCAATACCAATACTGAAGAAATTCACAGCAGTGATGAAGATGCTGGAGATGTTTTTTACAGGTTTGTGGTTCTTCATGCTGAGGAAGATGTCGAGGAAGCTGCTAGAGTCCAGGACTTGCTACAGAATGAATTCTGCATTAAACCAGGAATCATATTTGCCGAAATGCCTGGTGGGAGGCATCTCTTTGAAAATTTAAACGATGCAATGAATGGGTCTGCTTGGATAATCATCTTGCTGACTGAAAACTTCTTAAGTGAGCTTTGGTGCGAGTTCCAGTTCTGCACTTGTCTGTTCAGTGCGTTGACCATACCGCACAAAGGATACACCGTCATCCCAATGAGGCCGCGGAATAACCCGCTCCCAAGGGAGAGGACTCCTTTCATCCTCCAGACCATTAACACGCTACAGGAAGATAGCCCTGGATTTGCCCAGCAAGTGAAGAACATTTTCCAGGACTCAAGATACAGGCAACAGCAAGCCATATGGCAGTATGAAAAGAAGAAGGAAGAGGTGCAAAAGCTGCTCGAGTGGCAAACCTATTAAGGCAATTTCTGCAAAAAACCCTTACGCCCCAAAGAACTGCTTTTTTCAAATGATCCCCACTGAGCTTTAATCATCCTAACACTTAACTGTGTCTCGTGGCAGAAAAATGCTCCCTAGCTATAAGAGCTGACTTCATGGAAGCTTTGCAGAGAGGGTTCATAGATCAGGGGTTACAGAAACTGATCTAGCCCTTGGCATCTCCAGTTAAATGATCTTTCATAGAGCCAGAAGTAGCTCTGCCTGGGAGGGACACAACCAGTGAGAGCTGACACTACTGGGCTAGATGGTCCAATGGTCTAAACTCCATGGTTCTCAAAGTGGGCAGTACCATCCCCAGGGAGGGGGAGCGGTTACCTGGAGTGTGTGCTATGAGATAGGGTGGCTCTGGAGGTGTAAATGACTATCGGACTTTGAGAAGCTGTTATCACTGTTGCACTAATTGAACTAAATAGTTTTCATTGGATTTTGAATAAATGTGCAGTTATTCATTACCGTTTTGAATTCTGTTGTGTTATAATCCTCCTTCGAGGGACACAGGTGGCGCTGTGGGTTAAACCACAGAGCCTAGGACTTGCCGATCAGAAGGTCGGCAGTTCGAATCCCCGCCACTGGGTGAGCTCCTATTGCTCAGTCCCTGCTCCTGCCAACCTAGCAGTTCGAAAGCACGTCAAAGTGCAAGTAGATAAATAGGTGGGAAGGTAAACGGCGTTTCCGTGCGTTGCTCTGGTTTGCCAGAAGCGGCTTAGTCATGCTGGCCACATGACCCAGAAGGTGTACGCCGGCTCCCTCGGCCAATAAAGCGAGATGAGTGCCGCAACTCCAGAGTCAGTCACGACTGGTCCTAATGGTCAGGGGTCCCTTTACCTTTACCTATAATCCTCCTTCACGGGTCATGCAAACTGCTATTCTGAATAACGCTTTTTATAGAGTAGCAGGAACCGGGGATGGTTTTTGGGGCTGTGACCCCAAAAAGGTTGGGGATCCACGGGTCTAATGCAATGTAAGGCAGCTTTTGCTGGAATTGGACAATTTTTAGAGAGAGAATTGAACATGGATTGAAAGAGGGATTGCAGTCAGTTGTGTGTACACTCATCTTACTTCCATCTTTAGTGAACAGGTTTGCATTGTTTCAGAAACCTGTTCAACCAGGCACAGCAAGGGGACAAAAAGAAATGTTTGTGTACTTGTGTGTTTACACCAAGAATGAAGAACTTGTTGCCCTCCATGTTGTGGTATTCTCTTTTTCCCCATATCATTTTTATTAAATCTCCAAAAATATTCCAAAATACTTATCATCATGTAATTATAACAACATGCAGTTTCTTCTTGACTTTCCACCCCTCCTTTCCTGATTTTTTTTTTACTCCTTCTTGTTAGCTGTTTTACAACACGTAAGTTTTAATTTTCTAAACCCCACCATTGTTAATTCTTTCAATAATCCACTGCTTATATTTCAAATCCTGCCAGTGACTTCATATATGGGTGATAATTTGATGGATCCACCAGTGGACTCCACTCCTCCTTAAGCACTCAGTCATTACGTCTTCTTAATTTGGCAGTTAATTTCACCATTTCAGCATAGTCCGTCAGTTTCATAGGCCATTTCTCCTTAGTTGGTCGTCATCCTTCTTTCCCCTTCTGTGCATATAAAGTTGTGGGATTCTCAAATCCCATTAGCCCTAGCCAGCATGGCCAGTTGTCCGGGATGATAGTGAATGGTAGCTCAAAAACATCTAGAGAATCACAGGTTGCCCAGCTTGGTGTATAATGTTGGAGAGGATCTGGTTCTCAAACCAGTTGCAGCGGTCTGTAAAACTACTGCCAGTCTTTGGCCTTCAAATCAGGTTTGCTGGAGGACTGTATTTGGCTTTCCAGCATCTGAGAAACTTACTGTGGTACCAGATAAGAACTAAGTCTTTCCTGCTAAAGACTATTGTATCTTCAAACTCAGCTCAAAGTGCCATGTTCTCCACGCCTCCTTAATAATGTCATTTCCACATGGTTCAGATGGAACCTGTCATCTGTGGGGCTTTCTGTAAGAAAAGCTAAGATGCTCACTGCATTTTTAAAGGGCCACAATGGAGTTGGAAGCTTGTTCTATGATGTTTTGAAATATTGGAAGTTCCTTGTGGAGCTCAAGTGTTAACAAAGGGTGACTCATTCAGTTAAGGCAGTGGTTTTCAAGCAGTGTGCCGTAGCACCCTGGGGTGCCTTGAATGATGGTCAGGGGTGCCGCGGGCAACACTGGCCTCTGTCCCTCTTTCCTTTCCTCCATCCTCTTATGTCCTCTTGCATCTCTGCCTCCCAATGGCTTGAACAGTTGTTTGTTGCAGCAGCCCTGGCTACAATGTCCTCCCCAGGTGAATGGTGCCTCTGGGGCTGGCCAGGGGGTGCTGGTTGCCAGGAGCTGAGGTGGACTCGGAGTAAGCAGGCGAGGGAACTCAGCCAGCCAGTCCACCAGCCCTTGTTGTTTTGGAATGAACAGACAAGTGGGAGCCCAGGTAGGTACTGTGCTGGCCTTTCCTATGCTTGCTGTGTGCAAGGCCTGCTTGGGAGTTGAGTTGAGTGAAAGGGAGCCTCTCCGCCATGCAGGCCCAACAGCGCCTGCTGCTGCCATTGCTGCCTCCCAAGGTAAGGTGCTGGCTTCACATTCACCTTTGGCCAGTCTCCATTGGGCCAGTAAGCCTGGGGGCATCCTCTTCCCAGTGTAGGAAGCCAGTGTGGTATAGTGGTTAAGAGCAGTGGACTCGTAATCTGGTGAACCGGGTTCGATTCCCTGCTCCTCCACATGCAGCTGCTGGGTGACCTTGGGCCAGTCACACTTCTCTGAAGTCTCTCAGCCTCACTCACCTCACAGAGTGTTTGTTGTGGGGGAGGAAGGGAAAGGAGAATGTTAGCCGCTTTGAGACTCCTTCGGGTAGTGATAAAGCGGGATATCATATCCAAACTCTTCTTCCAGGCCACCTCTCTTTGGGGCAGATGGGGGGGGCAGCTCAGAGACCGGGGGGGGGGGCAACAGATGCTGCCTGGATGACTCCCAAGCAGAGGGGAGAGGAGAGGAGACTCCACAAGGGAGGCTGCCAGCTCTGCAGGCAAGGGGTGACACATAACAGTTCCTGAGCCCCAAGGGGTACTGCAGAAAGAACAAGTACAAGTGGACTCATAAAGGTTGAAAACTTGAGTTAAGGGCTTGTTGGTAGCCCTGTTTGCACTTGCTTTGGCTATTAAATAATGCTGTGTTGAGCAGAGCCATCAACATAATAATAATAATAATAATAATAATAATAATAATAATAAAAATTTATATCACGCCCACTCTGGGCAGCCTCCAACAGAATATTAAAATACAATAGTCTATTAAACATTAAAAGCTTCCCTAAACAGGGCTGCCTTCAGATGTCTTCTAAAAGTCTGGTAGTTGTTTTTCTCTTTGACATCTGCTGGGAGGGCGTTCCACAAGGTGGGCGCCACTACCGAGAAGGCCCTCTGCCTGGTTCCCTGTAACTTGGCTTCTCACAATGAGGGAACCGCCAGAAGGCCCTCGGCACTGGACCTCAGTGTCCGGGCTGAATGATGGGGGTGGAGATGCTCCTTCAGGTATACTGGACCGAGGCCGTTTAGGGCTTTAAAGGTCAGCACCAACACTTTGAATTGTGCTTGGAAACGTACTGGGAGTCAATGTAGATCTTACAATACTGGTGTTATGTGGTCTCGGCGGCTGCTCCCAGTCACCAGTCTAGCTGCTGCATTTTGGATTAGTTGTAGTTTCCAGGTCACCTTCAAAGGTAGCCCCACATAGAGCGCATTGCAGTAGTCCAAGCGAGAGATAACTAGAGCATACACCACTCTGGCGAGACAGTGTGTGGGCAGGTAGGGTCTCAGCCTGCGTACCAGATGGAGCTGATAAACAGCTGCCGTGGACACAGAAGTGACCTGCGTCTCCATGCCTGGTCCCTATTGTGGCCACTTTATGCAAAGGATCTGTTAGGCCACTCTTTAATTTTTGCACTGTAAACTACTTCAACTGCAACAGAGCAGAGTCTCTCGTGTTGTGCCTGCCATTCAAACCAAATAACAAACAAGCTGGAGATGACAAAGTTGCCTGGCCCTTGCCCAGTAACGGGGCTTGTCTCCCAACATCCAAGGCACAGATATTGGACCATAAATCAGTATGATGCTTCAGCAGCTGTCTTGGTTCCTTCAGTCATTCCAGATCTTTCTTTTTTGATGTGTTTATACAGCTCGGATTCATGAAAAAAGGCTTCTCAGCAGAGAGCTTCCATCAATTGGCCTCATTCCCATCAAGCCACAAAATGGCGTGTTGCAACATGTCTTGAACCGCATGAACAACTGTGGTCTCCAAAGAGTTAGTGCCAGTTGCTCCAGGCTTTTTCATTACGTGGCTGGCAGACTAACTTCTACAACCCTCTTTACATACGTTAGCAGATAGCTTCTCTCGTTCTGTGGCACCTCTATTCTCCTGTGTGATGGTTGGTTGAAAACAAAAGTTAAAATTAGGGTGACCAGATGCAAAGAAGGGCAGGGCGCCTGTGCTTTAACAATTAGGTAGAACAGGGAATTTCAGCAGGTTCAACCGGTTAGGCAAAAACTGCACTGGCTCAGATTCCATCTCCTACGTGACAGCCTTCTCCTTTCCATATGGATGCCCTAGTGCAACAGTGACAGACCTGGAAAAATATCCCCCAATGCTAACTTCTGGTCCTGGTACTGCAGGTAAGAGCAGAACCATCATATCATCTTGCCTCCCACTCCCACCTCAGAGAGCCACTCCAGGAGAATACCATAGCTGATGGTGTCAAAAGCTGCTGAGATAGTACTTGGTCAGGGCGACCAAGCCATTTAGGTGTCAAAACCCCATTGAAATGGATCTGTGTAATTAGTCTCATCATAACACACCTAAAGTTGAGCAGTCATCACCCTTTCCATCACCTTACCCCCAAAGGGGACATTAGCTATTGAGCAGTCTTTTTTAATACCGCAGGGTCCAGGGATGGCCCCTTGCGAGAGGGCACTAGCACCTCTGCCATTGGCATCTTCCACAAAGAGGCGTTTACCACTCCCCATACCAACTCCCCCCAGTCACTGCCCAGCTAGCTCTCATAAGTCATATGGGCATGGCTCCAGAGTAACGTGGGATGAACAGATGATGATGACGATGGTGATGATTCCCTGTCTGGGTTGCCCCAGCCACTCTGGATGGCTTCCAAATGATATAAAAACATAATAAAACATCAAACATTAAAACCTTCCCAATACAGGGCTGCCTTCAGATGTCATCTAAAAGTTGTATAGTTCTTTATCTCCTTGACATCTGATAGGAGGGCGTTCCACAAGGCAGGTGCCACAACCAAGAAGGCCCTCTGCCTGGTTCCTGTCACTTCACTTCTCACAGTGAGGGAACCGCCAGAGGGCCCTTGGAGCTGGAGCTTAGTGTCCCGGCTGAACGATGGGTGTGGAGACACTCTTTCAG